TGTATATAAGCAGGAATAAACGCTCATTAGAGTCAGTTCTTCTTCACCCTCAATCTAGAGTCCTGTCTCTTATTGGGGGTAACCAGCTATATCACTACAAGGGATTACTATGCTCTGCATGCTCCCTTGGATAATCAATTCTAAGCTCTTTTAAGAGCTTGTTCCTGCTTCACTCTCTTGGAGGAGAGGTTCACCCACTGGAGCCTGGAGCCTTGTCGTAAGTCCAGGGTGGGTAGGAGACGGCGAGACCCCAACCATGCTACGGCGGTTTGTGGGGTTTGCGGTGGTTGTGCTGTCTGGCAGAGCGCTTGGAGCCCTCTGGAAGCACTAGGAGCATCCAGTAATGGAGGTACCCAGTTGCAGTCTGGAAGCTGAGTATTAGGTCTGTGTGCGCTGTGACTGGTGCCGTTGCTGGCTTTGGCAGCCGGAACATTCCATCCAGTCGTACTGCTTTTGCCTGTTTAGGCGGTAAGAGATCAGCCAGCAGGTGTCTGAAAAAGTGCAGTAGGTCTGTCAGGCTTATAGAGTCTGGGATACCGCGGATCTTTACATTGTAATGCCTGCGCTGGTCTTCTAGGGTATTTATCCGGTCATTGGAAGCTTGCTGCTGCTGTCATATTTCTGTCAGGGACATTATCCTGGATTCATGGATGCTTGATGAGGCTTCCAGCAGCGTGACCCTGGTGGCGACTCCCTCCATTGCCTGTTTGATGCAGGCCATGTCGGCCGCTATATTAGCTCTGAGCTCTGCCAGCATGCTGTTGAGTATAGAGGCTGTGACTGTCTCCTCTGCAGGGGTACGCTGGGGTTTTGAGTTGGGTGGTGGGGCATATGTTGCACCTTCCCCGGGTTCTATGGAGAAGTCGTCTGAGGAAAATGAGTAGCCGTCCTTTTCCGCCGCCATCTTGTCCCATGAGGACTTTTGCGAGTGTCGGAGAAGTTCCCCGATGTCTTGGGTGGTAGGGTCCTTGTCGGCTTTTGTTTGTGTTTCTGACCCATGACTGTTTCCCGTGTCAGGTAAAGGTTTTAGTGCCCGGCTGGCTTTGCAAAGTAGCCCAGAAAAATCATACTTTAACCCCTTAAGGACTGAGTCAAATGTACACGTTTTGATCAAAATAAAACGTAAACAAAACCTGGAATTTTACTATATGTCTGTTTAATCGTTCACCTATTTTATATTAAGAGTGCACCCACACTTATTATATATCATTTTATTCAAGAGAAATAGGGCTCTCATTTAACATCAAATTTTAAATATGAAACATAATTTAATATGAATAAAATATAAAACAAAATGGAAGAAATTAAGAAATATTGTTTTTTTTTAGTTCTGCATGACATTTTAACTGTGAATGTCATAATATGATTTGCTTTTACTGCAATAAAGTACACATATTTGTATTCAGCGATGTCTCACATGTAAAACAGTACCCCCTATGTACAGGGTTTATGGTGATGGCATACCATTTGCAATAGTAGACAACCCAAGGTATTGCAAATGGGGTATGTCCAGTCTTTTTTAGTAGCCACTTTATCACGAACTCTGGCCTAGTGTTTGCTGCACGGACACTGCAGTAAATATACCACAAAGTCTGTGCGGCTTTTAATGTCAGACCTTATCTAAAAGACTCACTGGTAGTGAAGCTAACAAAGTGGTTCGTTCTATCCAAATGGACAGTATGACAGGCCTTGCATGAATTGCAACCCCTGAAAAATTCAGTTTTCAAAGTGGTATTGCCCATATAGATCTGGTCTGTTTCTAATAAATCTAAGACTGTCCCTACCCTATGTATTTTTTCCTCTCTCTCTTTTTTTTTTGTTCCTTTTTCTTTTCATTTTTCCCTACAACTCTTGTTTTCCCTTAGTAATTCTGACTTTCCTTGGCGACCACCAGAGGGGAATCATGGGCCGTCCATATCCCATGGTGGAATGTATGGCCATCTTGGATTGTGCCGAAATGAGAATTGCCTTTGGAACGCACAGAAGTATGGGTTGGAATGCCCGGAAGTGCATGTTGGAACGCACTTTGTTTCTGGTTTCATTCTCGGAGATACAAGCAATAGCTATGAAGAACGAGAGATAATGGTACTAGCATGATAGGTGATCCATGTGCTGAAGGAGATCAATGGGAAGAATGAGGATGCCCACTTGATCACCAATGAACTTATGGATTAGCTCTATTTAAAGGGACTTTTGGGTGGTCTTGTCAGGCTGCTTTTTTGGCTTTTTTCACTTTGTACTTGTTTTCTAACTGTATGGTCCCAGAGGAAGTCCTAATTTTATGGACGAAATGCGTAGAACGGACCATATTTTTTTTTGTCTTAATTGATTTTAAAGAATTTTACTTATATGCTATATACAATAAAAGCAGCTACTACAGCTTACCATCTGGAGTCCTGCATCACAGTGGTGAACACTGATTGAGGAAGGGGATTACAGCCCCCTGCTGCCATCTGGGGACGCACCCTTTGAATGCCCATTTTTACTACATCCTAATGAGTGCATCTAATTTCAGCGCACATAATTTTGTTATACAGATTCGCACCATGTTCTGTGTATTCTTTTATTTTTAGATCATCAGCCGTTTCCCATCTGTTGTATATACATATTAGTATTACTCTACCCAAAACCAGTGTTTTTTTTCACACAGTACACTGTATATGCTGGACTAGAGGGGAAACATTTTATGTCAGACTAATGGGCGATACTTCATCACACAATTATTTCATGGGTTATGGCAATGTAAAGCTCGTTATAATTATTTATCTTGAAACAGCATCAATCAACTCATGGAAGGAGGGTAGAGTGGTGTCTAGAGGTATGCAGCCCATAGCACCTGAGTAAAGGTAAGTTCACTCCTGGTTATTATACATCCTGGGGACCCTTTATTTTAAAGCCCACACAATAGAGCCTAAGATGGAGTAAAGTGTGGGGCATATATCTCAAAAATCTAATTATATGCTTTTTTTTTAATCTTGTTCTTAAGTTAAAAATATTTCCACACACATTTTTAAAATAAATATCTTCTATAATGTGAAATATATGTAATTATTCATAGTTATGGCGATTTATTCAAAAAATGTTAGACAGATGCTAATAGCAATACGTGGACCAATACACAGTATATATGCACCAACTTGCATTATTTTCATTAATGTTATTTGCCATCCCTCAACCCCCCAGGTCTTATTCTGAGTACTGATTAATCGAAGCAACACTAGGCTGGTGCAAAATGATGATGAGACTTAAGTGGAAATTGACTCTCATAATAGCTATCATTTGCAGTGTTTGACACATCCCCAATGGGTTGGTTTAATTAGGCAAATTTGTTTCCTAGCAGTACAGAGTATTTAACTAAGTTTGACTAATCTTTGTTGATTTTCTTCATTAAATTATATAAATTATGTCAAAAATCCCACTTATTATCTTGACTTATGTACCACCTCTGAATTATTTCTGTTATATATCATTCATTAATAAACCAGAGGAAATAATGCATTGAGAATCTGATCCATAGTGAATCCCCACTAAGGAGTAATCATTTATTTCCATTTCTGTGTCAAATGATCTGTGAGCTTAATTACTTGGCGTGATAACATTTACTGCCCATAACTAGCTCTGTAACATTGAGGGGACCAGATAGGAAACCCTACGTTCTCAAAAGTGATGATCCCATAGTACTCCAATTGGTTAATAAAGCAGGTAGTCTTTCCACTATACAGGTAGCTTTTCTTCTAGACACTGAAAATGTATTTCTGTGTATCAACTTTGTAACGTTATTATGAACCTTTCATGTAGAATGAATATGGAATAAACTTGGAGAATCATTTCAAACAAAAGTGCAATTTGGGTGAATTAAAACTCTTAGAGTGATCAGAAAAATGTCTGATTTCCAAAACACCAAGTGCTAGATTCTCGACGGATCTTACTCACATGAATCAGAATTCATTAGTATTTTGGAGTCTTGCTTCTGGTACCAGAAAAAAATGGGAATGGAGAAGAGGCACTGCAAGCCTTAAGCAGGCAAGGTGAAATAACTGCAAAAAAGAAAGACATTTATAACAAAAGGAATCAGCATGAGTAATTGTATTTTAAACAGGGAATTTAAGAAAAAAAATTAATGGAATAATATGAGTGGGCAATTAATTACCAACTCACCTGTTCCACTCTTAAATTTTCTTTAAAATCCCATTTTTATTTTCCAATACAATTGCTGTTCAATATATTGTCACATTTATAATTCACAAATTATATTGAAAAAGGTCCAGATGGGTCAAAACATTGATAAGTAACGGATTTATTTATATTAAGCATGAGTGCATCCCTTTTCTACTATATACAACTTAGTGAATTGGAGAGGAGAGTCATATATATATATAAATATATATAAATATATATATATATATATATATATATATATAAAACATGAGGGCTCCACTCACATGAGCATGCATTCATTACAAGGGTGTCACTGGGGCCAATTTATGCAACAAACATGAACAGCATTTTCAAAGCTCACAGAATGTAATAGTTTTATTTAAAAACACCTCATCTAGACAAAAATCAAATGATGATTCAAGCCAAAATACTAAACTATGTCAATTGCATTCTACAGAAACCATGCCTTATGAAATCTCCAACCAATTTGAATGTCTCTGCCTTCACAGATCTCCTTGATCTATGGTATGTTGGCAAAGGGCAGGTACCTGTTGGCACATCAGTGTATTAGAAAATGGAAAGAAGATCTTCAAACTACCTTCTCTGAAGAGGAATGGGATAAAATGATAGATATCATAGAGATGACGTCGGCTTCAGCCAAACTATAGAAAAATGCATACAAACTACACTTTAGGTGGTACCAAACTCCTACCACAATTACCTTTGATTCTTCTGTACCGGATACTTTTTGATGATGTGGTGAGGAAGCAGACAGCTTACACCATGTCTGGTGGGACTGCCCATTAATACAACCATTCAGGTCCCCTATAAACACATACATATGGAAACTCTCTGATGAATCTCATGTGTTTGAACTGGCACCATTCCTCCTGCACCATACCCATCTTCAACCACAGTCATAGAAATATAGTTCAATAGTTCAGAGACTATTGAACATGGCCAAAGCAGTTATCCTGCTGTTCTGGAGGCTCTTGTGTACACCACCACTGGCAAGATAGGAAAGCGAGGTGGAAGATACTTGATGCTTTAAAAAAACTAAAGGCAGTTACGATGAACCTAGAGAACAATACAAGAATAGATGGCACTATAGGCTGGACCTCCTCTCCTCCCCAGCTGCTGATCCACCCTTCCCTGCGACATTAATTAGCAGAATCACCTTAAATTCTTTACTGGGTGACTCTCTTGTATGGAGGCGGGGTCTTATGGGTGCAACTCTGGGCATCTCACACCACTACACTAGCCTCTTCTTTTTTTCCCTACTATCAGCTTTTTAGGGCGTGTGGTTCACCCCTACCACCCTTCTACCATGTGGGTGCTAATTTTTTCCATCACTTATTTATTTTTAAAAGACATCCCCTCTCCTTGATAGCTTTTTTTGTATAGGTTTTATGGAAAATTCAGAGACCTTCTCCACAATGCCCAATAGGACATATTACACTTGTGAAGTTTTGTCCTTCCAACAAAATCAACAATGCAAACTAATGTTCAAAGGAAAGCACCACAATCCCACACAACAACCACCAAAGTACACACTTTATTATCACGTGTAATTGTCAAGAAAACAAGTGCACTGACTATTCTGTATGCTTGATACACTTAGCTCAGCCACCTATTGCTTAATAGTTATACATGGGCCCCAAAACCATGAATTTGCCTGGCCTCATTCACCACCCTTATTTAAAGAATAAAAAATGGGATGGGGGAAGGAGCAGAATGGCAAAATCAAAAAGCCTGTGAATCATCTTCAAGTGTAATCAAGTTAAAGGCACCCAGACCACTTCTGCCCATTGGAGTGGTCTGGGTGCCAACTCCCACTACCCTTAACCCTGCAAGTGTAATTATTGCAGTTTTCATAAACTGCAATATTTACATTGCAGGGTTAAGTCCTCCTCTAGTGACTGTCTACTAGACAGCCACTAGAGGAGACTTCCGTGTTCATAGAAAAAAAAAGTGTTTTAAAGCGACGCTGGACGTCCTCATGCTATGTGAGGACCTCCAGCGTTGCCGAAATCCCCATTGGAAAGCATTGTATAATGCTGTCCTATGGGGAGGTCTCATGCACGTGCGGGGCCATTGCTGCGCATGTGCATTAGGTCTCCCCCGCCGACAGCCATGGAGCGGGGGAGGAGCGTAGGAGCGTAGACTCCGGTAAGTCACTGAAGGGGTTTTAACCCCCTCAGCAACTTGGGATGGGGGGTGGGAGGTAGAAGGGCACTAGAGGGTCCTGCAGTGCCAGGAAAACGAATATGTTTTCCTGGCACTGGAGAATCCCTGTAAGCAATTATCATATAAATTAGAATATGTAGTAAAAAAAAAAAATAGTTTTAAATACATTTTATCGATTCCCAAAATATTGCTGTTATAATAAAGTAACTCATTGTGATCCATTTGAGTGCAGTAAATGAAATTGCCTTGCATTATTATTATTATTGCCATTTATATAGTGCCAACAGATTCCGTAGTGCTTTATAATTTTATAAGAGATGGGATTTAGCTATAAATAGGACAATTGCAAGAAATCTTACAGGAACGATAGGTTGAAGAGGACCCTTCTCAAACGAGCTTACAGTCTATAGGAGGTGGGGTGTAAAACACAATAGGACAGGGAATAGTAATCAAAGTAGGTGGGAGTGAAGCAGAGCTGGAGGAGAGAATAGAGTGCTGTCCTTTAGGAGAGAGCAAGAGACAGGTATGTGAGGTAGAGGTTACTCTGGGAGGCCATAGTTTTCCTAAAAAGATGGGTTTTAAGACTAGAGGAGAGTCTGATGGCGATAGGCAGTCTGTTCCATTGGAAGGGAGCCGCCCGCGAGAAGTCCTGCAAGCAGGGCCATCTTTACCGCGGGGCAAATGGGGCATTTACTCCTGGGAGGCCCGAAGCAGCTGCACCATGGGCCCCAGCCAGCCTCAAGCATTTCTCCCACCCGCCTGTGCAGCTGCACACAAAGGAGGCCCACCGGATGGCCCATGCACTAAGGGGCACCAGGTCAGCTTCTGTCAGCAGGGGCCTGGTCTTGCGCTCTGGTGTTTTAAGAGCGTGACCGAGCCCTCTTGCTTTTTGGCAGTCGGCTGGGAGGAAGTGACGGCCGCAAGTCATTTCCTCCCATAAAGAGAGAAGCCATGCGGGAGGAGGAAGAGGCAGAGTAAAGGGGTCTGGGCTGAGCTAGCCAGACCCCAACTCCCAACAGCTTAAGCCACCAGTGGGAAAGCTACTCTCCAAGGTAGGAAACTGGAGGGTGAGTTTAATAGTGTAAATGTTGTGTGTGTGTGTCTGTATGTCTGCCAGTGTGTGTGTGTGTCTGAATGTCTCACTATATGTCTGTATGTCATTGTGTCTGCCAGTGTGTGTCAATGTGTGTGTATCTGTGAATGTCTCAGTATATGTCTGTATGTCATAATGTCTGCCAGTGTGTGTGTGTATCTGTGAATTTCTCAGTATATGTCTTTATGTCATTGTGTCTGCCAGTGTGTGTGTGTGTGTATCTGTGAATGTCTCAGTATATGTCTGTATGTCATTGTGTCTGCCAGTGTGTGTGTGTCAATGTGTGTGTGTGTATCTGTGAATGTCTCAGTATATGTCTGTATGTCATTGTGTCTGCCAGTGTGTGTCAATGTGTGTGTGTGTGTATCTGTGAATGTCTCAGTATATGTCTGTATGTCATTGTGTCTGCCAGTGTGTGTCAATGTGTGTGTGTATCTGTGAATGTCTCAGTATATATCTGTATGTCATTGTGTCTGCCAGTGTGTGTCAATGTGTGTGTGTGTGTGTGTGTGTATCTGTGAATGTCTCAGTATATGTCTGTATGTCATTGTGTCTGCCAGTGTGTGTGTGTGTGTGTATCTATTGTGTCTGCCAGTGTGTGTCAATGTGTGTGTGTGTGTGTGTGTGTGTATCTGTGAATGTCTCAATATATGTCTGTATGTCATTGTGTCTACCAGTGTGTGTCAATGTGTGTGTGTGTGTGTGTGTCTCTGTGAATGTCTCAGTATATGTCTGTATGTCATTGTGTCTACCAGTGTGTCATTGTGTGTGTGTGTGTGTGTGTGTGTATCTGTGAATGTCTAAGTACAGTTGATACTCGAAAAATTAGAATATCGTGCAAAAGTTCATTTATTTTAGTAATGCAACGTAAAAGGGGAAACTAATATGAGATAGACGCATTACATGCAAAGCAAGATAGTTCAAGCCGTGATTTGTCATAAGTGCGATGATTATGGCTTACAGCTTATGTGTGTCAGTGTTTGTATATGTCAGGATGTGTATCGGTGTGTCTGTATGTGTGTATCTGTATGTTGTCTTTGTGTGTTTCTGTATGTTGTCAGTATGTGTATCTGTGTATCTGAATGTGTGTCAGGTTGTGTATTTATGTGTCAGTGTATCTGTCATGTTCCTGAGCAGGTCAAAGAGGAGACGATAGCCAGGGTTATTGGATGAAACTGTATTTGTCTGTTTGGACATAACAATTTACTTAAAATAAAGAATTAAGGCAATCTGCCACAAACAGGATTCTTTGTAAGAAAAACAGAATAAATGCAATATGCCACAAATGGGATATCTTGTAAATGAATTAAGTAAATTAATTAAAGTATTTTATGTACAAGTAGGTTTGAAGTGATTCCAAGGAGATTAGTAATTTGTGGAATGTCACATTGCAGTCAGGTTCAGGATGATACAGGATTGAAATAGTTAAAGCTGGTCAATAATTTCAGTATAATCTAGTTCAGGTTGCTTACAGGATTATGCAGAGTTTCAGTAGTTGAGACAGGTAAGTAGATTCCAGTATAAAGTAATACAGTTTGCTTACAGGATCATGCACTGTTGCAGCAGTTAAGGATCTTCAAAATGGTAGATCAAGCAGGTAAGTCTCTTCAGATTGAAATAATGCAGATAAATACAGGATGTTTTCAGGAGCTAGGATCAGAAGTTCTATGTCAGATCACTGACTTCAATGTCAAGGCCCTGTTGTGTGCAGGGTGTTGACTTATAAAGCCTCCTCATTATTCAATACAGGTGAGGATGATAAGGCGAGAGAGAAGCTTAGTGGCTATGGAGGCCACTAGAGGTGAAAATAAGGAAGTGAAATTAAAGGGGCAGTAATAAACGAAAAAGTCTTACATGTCAGTTTTGGAACATGACAATGACCTGTGTGTCTGCATGTGTATGTAATGCTAAAGCTTGAATGCAGATGTGTTTCAGTGTGTGTATATCTACGTGTGTGTTTGTGTGTGTATATGTGCATACATCTCAACATTCACACGCTAACACTACACACAAAAACACACCTGCATTCAAGCTTTAGCATTACATACAAATACATGTCTGTGTTAAACACCAACATTATATGTATACACACCCCTGCATTCAAAAACCAACACTACACATAAATACATGCTTACATTCAAACGCCAACACCACATACAAACATATTCCATACAAAAACCTATCTTGAAACACACAAATACTGCTTAGTGCTAAATACAAACCTGCAAACATGGGTAAATGGTAGAGCCCCAGCTGTCAAGACATTGCTTGAGTAGCATGACAGATGGTGATCTACCTTTTAAACATGCTTGCAATAGGGAGGCCCAAAAAATATTCTTGCACCTCTCTACTTTAGGTTGCCACAGCGTTAAGAGTGATAAGGTGATTGCACACCTGGGAAGGGTGTACAGAATACAGGGGGCCCAAGCAAATGCTTTGCCCAGGGTCCAATATTAAAGACGGCCCTGTCTGCAAGCATGTGTTGGCTGTACGGGTGCGAGTAGCGAACAGGAGAAGGTCACAGGCAGAGCGGAGAGACTGAGAAGGGGCGTACCTATGAATCTGTGACGAGATATAAGAAGGGCTAGAATTGGTCAATGCTTTATAGGTATGGGTTAGCATTTTGAATTGACTCCTACAGGATACAGGAAGCCAATGTAAGGACTGACAAAGGGGTGAAATGTGAGAGGACCGACTAGAGAGGAAAATCAGTCTGGCGGCAGCATTCATTACAGACTGTAGCGGGGCAATACGGTTTTTGGGAAGACCAATTAGGAGAGGGTTACAATAATCCATGCGGGAAATTACTAGAGCATGGACAAGCTCTTTGGTACCATCTTGTGCAAAAAATAGACACTATAGTCACCACAACAACTACAGCTTAATGTAATTGTTCTGGTGAGTATAATAATTGCATTCAGGCATTTTATGCAAATACTGCCTTTTCAGAGAAAATGCAGTTTTTACATTGCCTGTAGGGACACCTCCAAGTGGCCACTCCTCAGATGCCCACTGGAGATGCTTCCTGGGGCAGTGCTGCACATTAGGCAGCACTGCCGTTCAGCTTCTCCACGCTCTGCATGGGATGTTGAATTTTCCTCATAGAGATGCATTGATTCAATGCATCTCTATGAAGATGTGCTGAGTGGCCAAAATGGCGTTTGGCCATGCCCCCATACCACCTCCTTGCTGATCTCGAAATCTGCAATTCTGATGATGTCATCAAGGGGGCTTGAATGAATGCAATTTATTTAAGATACAACTGAATCTTTAAAAAAAAATGGTTAGAGAAATAGAAGCAATTTTTTTTTATTGTATATTATCATTTCTTTGTTTTGGAGTCTACAAAAATAATTTTATAAATTGAGCTAGCTTGGTCTTAATTACACAGACGTGTATACAGTTAACAGAGAGATATATATATATATAATCAGAAACTACTCGTGTTGGTCTGTAATCTTATTATTTGCTTTGTGTTTGAACGTGCAGAATAAAAAAGGTCTTCTGTTTTTCAAGGCAGGACTTAACCTGGCACAGGTATATAATGGGAATGCACAGAATCCCTACCTCACAAGTCTTCTATTGCGGCAATGGGACATGAAAGCATTGTTTTCTCTAGAAATTCCATTTTTTAGGAAATTAGCACAATTGGATCTTGCGTACAATTACAGTGTAGGGTGTAGTTTTGCTCTGCATTATGAGAAACGGTATTATAACAATACATCACACAAGCCACCCTGCTCACAGAGTAGTAGTTTGGCAAAGCTGTACACCTCTAGCCACCTCTTTAGGAGACTTAACAAAAGAAATCACTAAACATATGGCACAATCCAAGAAGTCTAAACAGCAGTTTGGCCCAGAGGCAGCAAGAAGAGTGTTGATGCTTGCAGTTTGCAAATGTGTATATTTTAAATGTAAAATTAGCCAAATGGTGTATTAAGAACATGAATATAATGTTTCACAGTGCATGGTGATTTTGAAAATAGCACGTTTCTAATGACTTTATGCAAATATTATTTTACTTTTTTACATTTAGCAAATATTACATTGTTCATGTGGTTTTAGTTCCTTGAAATGCTGGTTAGATTTACAAAGGCAAGCAGTTTGAACACACTGATTATCAAAACAAGTACTTGTCATGTAGAAACAATACAATAGAGCAATATTGTCAGACTCTAGATAATATATATACATATCAGAGATGTGAAATTTATATCGTCCGCCTCCTCGGAAATACAGTTCTGGGTTGCAGCCAGTTCTGGGTTCTAGGCATGAAGATTTTTTTTATTTTAGCCCTGCCATGGGCAAGTAGCAGGTCAGTCTTGGGGGAGGGTTGGTGCTGGGCAGGGAGGGCATCTCCTGCAGTAGGAAAGCTGACTGGCCCACCCCACCAGGAATCGCCTTACTGTGATGCTTCTGCAACAGCCAAACACTCCTCACGATGCTCTGGACAAATGGCCGCCGGGATTCAGTGTGATGCAATATCCTGGTGGCCAATGCCGCTGCTTATGGACAGAGACAGTATTGGACAGGCTGCTGGTTGTAATCAGTGCTGTTTGTATGTGTCAGGGAATGAATAGTTTGTCACTAAGTCAGTGAGTTTTTGTGTGATAGTAGTTGTGTGAGACAGTATGCAGTATGTTTGTGTATGGGTCAGTGAGTGTATGATGATGGATGTGTGTGTCAGTGTGTATGTTTCAGTCTGTATGTGTCAGTGTGCAGCATGTTTGTGGCTGGGTCAATCTGTGTGTCAGTGTAAAGTGGGTTTGCGCATAAGTTTGTGAGTGTGTGTTAATGGATGTGTGTGGCAGTGTGCAGGGTGCTTGTATCATTCACTTACAAATAGCAAGTAAATGATTATTTTTGGATGAACATCAACTTTTCATCGGCCTTCATGTGGTGGTTGATAAATTTGTGATTCCGGTGTTGTACATTGGTTTGGATGCGGAAATCACTACTTTTCCAAACATATCCAAACCAATGTTACAGAATCGATCAGACTGACCAAATCGTGACTGCATTTGGCTTTAGTAAACATGAGCATTGCCAACACAAACAGTGTTTGGTGAATAACTCTGTATATCTTTCAGAAGAATGCATATGCATGCAACTGTTTGCACCTGTTACACTTCCATTTCCACATTTGTCCATTTAAAAGATACTCAATGGCTGTTTAATGAAAGGAGCTGCATGGTGTGATTTCTCAAACTGGTAAATGGGCAAGGTCATAGTTGAGGCTTGGACAATCTTCAGAACTGGAAAGAAGGATGTAGTCGCACAGGGTGTCCAGCTTCCACAATGTGGATGAATCCAGGAGAGGTGCAACTCTACAGCTTGAATTTTTACAGTTTACTGTGGTTATAAGCAACTAG